TACGGCATCGATCGCGAGTCCCCCTTACTGCTGCTGCTTTGCTGAGTGCTGATCGAGACAAAAGTTGTGGAAGGTTAATTTGCATTACTACCATCAATCAACGTCAATCAAATAAATCGTGCTCATGTACCTTAACGTACTCTAACGATTTATTTGATCTACGATTTATTTGGTAGTCTATTGCCTATAGAAAACCATTTAAGAGCGGCTTTGCACCCTCACGTGATGGCAGCCATGGCAGAAGGTAGAACAACAGGCCTTTTTTTTAAGGTTGCGTGCGCATCCAACTTGACGGGCCAAAAAACTGAAAAACGCAAATTCAGTAAAATTGAGAAAACAGTTTTATATTTAAAGAGAAGAATAATCTTTTTTATGAATTCTTACAGGAAAAAAATTCATAGAAATGCATGATAATACTCGTGTTCTGGTATCGTGGCCCGTCAAGTTCCTTAAATTCGGATGCGCACGCAACCTTGAGAAAACGATCTATTGAAAATGGTCTAGTCTGATTTACATGAGAAACAATAGACCATTTTCGAATTAGTCAAATACCACTGTGTTCGTTGAGTCATTTATATAGGATTAGCCTTAATTCAGTGTCCAAATATTCACAAATATATACCAACGGTAATGTAAAGAATGCACAACTTTAACAATACAAACTCTTTGAAATTCCACGGAACTTCACTTGAACACATGAATATTCAAAATAGTCCCATACAAAATCGAGGCTAGCCCTAGCTCCCCAGAGAAAAAGACTCTTGACTATTCTTGTGCCTCCTGTCATGGCTGCCATCACGTGATGGTGCAAACCATCTATAACTATTATAGACAATCTAAAGAGTTTTTATGCATATCCTTTTGACAGATTACCTGGAAGTTAATATCAAGTCTCATATGGTAGTCCCATACTTTTATCAGATTGTCCCCGGCCGTTGCCAGGTAACGACCATCAGGAGAAGTGTCTAAACATGAACAGCTATGACGATGAAGGTTAGAAACCTGAAAGTGGAGAAAATTATTGGTTCACATTAAAGGGTGGATGGATGGATGGATGGATGGATGGATG